TTATTCTTGGTCCTCTTGTGGATGTCACAATATCCAAGGTGATTTCAGTTACCACCGAGCAACTCAACTTAGCAGTGGGATTCAAGCAGGAGCTCAAGAAGTTCCGTGTGGTGCTGAGCATGGTAAGGGGCGTGCTGCAAGATGCTGAGGAGAAGAAGGTGACGGGTCACTCTGATCTGCAACCTTGGCTTCAGGAACTGGGAAATATAGTTGATGAAGCTGACAATGTGGTAGATGAGATTGCATATGAACATCTAAGGTACAAGGTGGCTCAAAAACAAATGTGGAAAAAGGTCAGCTATTTCTTTACTCTTTCCAATCCTTTAGCTTTTCGCCTTAAGATAGCTAACAGGATTAAGGATTTGAATTTAGATCTAGCTAGCCTTAATGATTGGGCCACTGGACTAGGGCTTCAATATAGACTTGCAAACAAGTTTCCTGAACAGATAGAAATCCAACAGACAGATTCTTCAATTCGTGATCCACCAATAGGAAGAGAAAAGGAGGTCCCAGAAGTTGTCCAATCATTGATTGACTCGAGTAATGATCAATCTCTCCATGTCGTATCCATAGTGGGTATGGGAGGCATAGGCAAAACTACTATGGCCAAACTAGTGTGCAACAATGAGCAGATTCGACATCGTTTTTTCAAAATAGTATGGGTTTGTGTTTCTAAAAATTTTGAGGTGAAACAGATTTTAGTAGAGATGTGGAAAAATGTTACTGATGATAACAAAGTGGAGCATATGAGTCAAGATAGATTAGTCGAAAAACTACGAGAAAAGATGGAGGAAAAGGCCAAAGAAGAAAAGCTGAAGGAAGAGGCCAAAGAAGAAAAGCTGAAGGAAGAGGCCAGAAAAGATGAGCCGAGGGGAAAGGCCAAAAAAGAAGAGCATGAGGGAAAAAAGTATCTCCTCATATTAGATGATGTATGGGATGAAGATACCCAAAAATTGGAATCCCTAAGGAACTGTTTGTTGAGAATAGCTGAAAAAGTTGGGGGTAGGATTCTTGTCACAACTCGAAGTAAAAATGTAGCTTCCTTAATGGGAACACCTCCTGATCACATCCATGATCTCGGGAAGCTAAGAGATGAGGATTGTTGGTCCATAATCAAGCAAAGAGTATCTGTTAGCTCATCATTCCCTTCACAATGGGAGGAGATTGGATGGGACATTGCTAGAAAATGTCAAGGTGTAGCGTTAGTTGCAAATGTTATTGGGGGGTTTCTGTGCAATAATAGGAGCGAGGATGCCTGGTTGTCAATTAAAAACAATAGTGAAGAATGGGGTTCAATACAAGAAGCTGGAGGAGTTTTGCGTGTGTTACAGTTGAGTTTTAATCGCTTGCCAACATCTGCTTTGAAACAATGTTTTGCATTTTGCTCTATTTTCCCCAAAGACTTTGTCATGGAAAAGGAGATGTTAATCCAGCTCTGGATGGGTGAAGGATATCTTCAACCGTGTAGAAAAAGCTACAAGAAGATGGAAGATATTGGTGGCAAGTATTTCAATGACTTTTTCTTGTACTCCTTATTTCAAGATGCAGTAAAAGACTCTTATGGCAGTATTATTTCTTGCAGGATATCTTCAACCGTTTAGAAAAAGCTACAAGGAGATGGAAGATATTGGTGGCAAGTATTTCAATGACTTGTTCTCATACTCCTTATTTCAAGATGCAGTAAAAGACTCTTATGGCAATATTATTTCTTGCAAAATGCATGATTTAATACATGATCTAGCACAATCTGTTTCAGAGTCTCAAACGTTGATTTGGGATCGTAGTAGTAGTAGTGCTACTCCTACAGACATTCAGCATTTGGAGGATGGTAGTAGTGATATTCCTACAGACATTCGGCATTTGAATCTCATTTCTAAGGAGGGTATGCCAAAAACAAAAATAGAGGAACTGCGTACCTTGTTTTCATGTGTTGATGTTTCTCAAAACAAGCTTGAAAACTTTATAAAGGTGCGAGTTCTTAGTTTCCGTGGTGCTAATATTGATGAGTTACCAGCTTTTTTGGGAAAAATGAAGCATTTAAGGTTTTTGGATGTTTCAGAAACTAAAATCAAAGAACTTCCCAAATTCATCACTAAGCTCTATCATTTGCAGACATTTAGATTTATGAATTGTGGGGAAATCAAGAGGCCTTTGAGAGGAATATGGGATTTAGTCAATTTGAGACACATTTGTTTCAATGATGAAAAGCTTATGCCACCAGGGATTGGTAGACTAACTTGTTTGAAAACATTACAACTATTTGTTGTGGGCCAACAAAAGGGACATCAAATTGAAGAATTAAGGTGTTTAAGCCAACTCAGGGGAAAATTAGAGATTCGTAATTTGGATATGGTTAGAGACAAAGAAGAAGCCATGGGAGCAAGACTTTCTAAAAAGGATGCAATTCAGGAGTTGCAATTGGTGTTTGGTGAGGAATCCAGTGGTAGTGAAGATAGATGCACACAAGATGAAGACATCTTGGAAGGCCTCCAACCTCATTCAAATTTGAAAGGCCTAACTATTGAACGTTACTGTGGTAAAAGCTGTCCCTCATGGATGTTAGAAACAAAAAATTTTCTCAAAAAGCTGATGTTCATGACCTTTTATGAATGTCCCTGGTTGGAAAGCATTCCGTCACTTTCACTCAGCAATGAGGCAAAGGTGGAAATTACAAATTGTAAGAATTTGAAAAGCATTGCAGGTTCATCCCTTCAGAAACTCATCATTGAGAGCTGTGAAGAACTGGTTCGGGTAGAGGTTGGACCAGATGCCATGAAGTCTCTCAAAGAAGTACATATAGAGAATTGTGGTAAATTGGAAAAACTTCTGATGATTAGTAAATTACAATCCCTTGAGGTACTTGAACTTCAGCAATGCACGGAATTGACGATGATCGGAGATGATGCTCGATTTAACTCCACGTGTCTACAACAGTTAAATATTCAGAATTGTGATAGCTTGAGGTCCATGCCCAGTGTAGATGGGCTATCCTCTCTTCAAAAAATTGAAATACGTTGGTGTGGGCAATTGAAAAGCATAGGAGAGGATTTATCTATTGCCACATGTCTCAAAGAGTTAACTATATGGCGGTGCAATGGTTTGATGTCCTTACCGAACCTCCATGGGCTGTCTTCTCTTCAAAAAATTGAAATAGGCTGGTGTGGGAAATTGAAAAGCATAGGAGAGGATTTATCTACTGCCATGTGTCTCAAAGAGTTGATTGTAAGGAAGTGCTATAGTTTGATGTCCTTTCCAAACCTCCATGGGTTGTCCTCTCTTCAAAAAATTGAAATAGACAGCTGTGGGCAATTGAAAAGCATAGGAGAGGATTTATCTACTGCCACGTGTCTCAAAGAGTTAACTATATGGCGGTGCAATGGTTTGATGTCCTTACCGAACCTCCATGGGCTGTCCTCTCTGCAAAAAATTGAAATACGCTGGTGTGGGCTAAAAAGCATAGGAGAGGATTTATCTACTGTCACGTGTCTCAAAGAGTTGATTATATGGTCGTGCGATGGTTTGATGTCCTTTTCGAACCCCCATGGGTTGTCCTCTCTTCAAAAAATTGAAATAAACAACTGTGGGCAATTGAAAAGCATAGGAGAGGATTTATCTAGTGCCATGTGTCTCAAAGAGTTAACTATATGGCGGTGCAATGGTTTGATGTCCTTATCGAACCTTAATGGGCTGTCCTCTCTTCAAAAAATTGAAATAGGCTGGTGTGGGCAATTGAAAAGCATAGGAGATGATTTATCAACTACCACGTGTCTCAAAGAGTTGATTGTAAGGAAGTGCTATGGTTTGATGTCCTTTCCAAACCTCCATGGGCTGTCCTCTCTTCAAAAAATTGAAATAGACAGCTGTAGGCAATTGAAAAACATAGGAGAGGATTTATCTACTGCCACGTGTCTCAAAGAGTTGATTGTAATGGGCTGCTATGGTTTGATGTCCTTTCCGAACCTCCACGCTCTTTCATCTCTTCAGACTTTATCAATAAGAGGTTGTGGTGGATTAAGAAGTTTGCCAAGTGGGTTGCCATCATGCACTGCTCTTGAGGAATTGGATATCTCCAACTGTGATAATCTAATCTCTATTCCAGATGATTTGAGGAGGAGCTGGAGCACCCCTAGCCTTGCCTGCCTTGCTCGCTTGAAGATGCTGACTATTGGTGGTTTCTCAACAGAGCTCAAGGAATTTCCAGATCTGGGCTTCATCGGATCTCATGTTGAAGGATTGACTTTGATTGCATGGGGAGAACCAAGAGAACGTCTACTGGATCAAATTCAACACCTAACTGCCCTTAAGTCTCTCGGAATAAGGGATTTTGATGGACTGGAAGCTTTGCCAAATTGGTTTGGAAACTTATCCTCTCTTCAAACTCTATCGATTTCCAACTGCAAATCTCTGAAACATATGAAAGCCATCCGATGCCTCTCCAAATTAGAAAGCCTTCTTATTTATGGATGCCCTAAGTTAAAGGAAAGATGCACCAGAGGAAGTGGTTCCGAGTGGGGAAGTGGTTCCGAGTGGGGAAGTGGTTCCGAGTGGGACTGCATCTCTCACATTCGAAACATCCGAATAGATCCCATTGAGGTATCTTCAGCCTTTAACTATATATAATAGTAAATCCTTTTTCTTTAATTCCCTTGTCTTCTTGATTGATTTCAATTATGCATTTACCTTCTTTCAATCTTTTAGGTACTACTGCTAAATCTTTTTTATTTTTTCTATTTATTTATAGTACTTAGCAACTAAATCCAAATTTATTATCTATTACCATTGTTACCTACAATTCAAAAGCAAATTAAGTTGATAATTTATTTTCCCTTTCAGTATATGTAATTTCAAGTTTTAAAATGTTATACTAATAATTTCTCCATTCAAATGCTCTACTACCATTCTAAATTCCTAATTTGCTGCATCAGGATGATTGATAGTGAGCAGCAGGTTGATGATAATGAGCAATTACCAGTGCGGGCTACAGGGTTGAGACGCTTCATTTGTTGCAGAAACTAATAAAATAGAAAGTAAAACAGGATTCGAAAATTAAAGGCTGGCATCATGGCTTGGTAGCCCAACCCAAACCACAAACGTCAATGCTGATTGTGAGGTTGGATTTTATTTGCCAAATTAAAACCTATTATGCAATTGGTATAGAGTAGCATCAGAGTTTACCACTGAACTCATTAGTCGTATTCTACTAGTGCATCACTTCTTTCTTCTACCAACTTAACTATGAGGAAGGTTGTTGCTTATTATTTTAACTTTTGTAAATTTGGTCCTTCCAAGCATTTTTACCTTCTCTTAATGTTTTGTATTTGCTCATGCAGGATGAAAACAAGATTCAGAGCTAGGCATAAAAGAGGATACAATTTTAAAAAATGAAGTTGCTCAGACAAGTATTGTGATGCTTGCAAGCCTGTCAAATGTCAATTATGTCATTCTGTATAAGATTTACTTATCTGATGTGTAGATAACGTATGTGGTGTATAAAGGCTGAATCATTTTGCAGGCCTTTGGTTCTTCAAATTAACCTGCAAGCAATCAATCTCTAAAACCTTATGTGATGTTGGTGACACCTTGCTGAAAAGGCAAGGGGCCAAGCACAACAATCATCTCAAAAACCGTGGAGACCTTTTGGATTTTTATAAGATCCATACATCAATTCAGGTAAGCTGTGCTTCTTCGTAAATATTTCTTTCAAAATTTGACTGTATCTCTATGATCTGATGCATT